ATTTTTTCATAAAATAGCCAAGTAATTTTTAACGTGTTGCTGCATATTTGCTAAACCCAAGAATTTAGTGCTATTTTTGATGATCTGCACATTTATAATGCTAAATATATTAACATTTATTAAAGGTAGAATTACATTTTTTTGAAAATACCTATCACCATTCTTCAACTTAAACCTCAAAGACAGTTACTAAGCAAACACGTCCCTCCTGTATAGTTTCTACATCCTTCCACGTGAAACAGTCACATGGAATTGGATGTGCAGCAGTAATACATTTACATGTTTAATTTCTATAATCTACCAGTGATGACTTACTGAAAACAAAAAACAATGTAATTCCCTCTGTAATACAGAAAATACTAGAACTTAAAAAAAAAAAAGAAAATAAGAAAAGGAAGGAAATACTCATTTTCTTATACGTTTCTCAGTGTTACGGGATGAACCCATAACGACTAATTTCATATCTTTAATGTATAAATATGAAAAAATGCTCAGTTCTTCCCATGATAGAAATTTTACTACTGATTCCTTTTAAACAAATTTATGAGTAAAACAGAAACAAGAATGGCCTGTATGATGGAAATTGAGCCAAGTATGCTAGACCTAACTCTAGTTCCGAACCTAATGCCACAACCTTCTGTAAATCACTTGCTCATGTTCATCATCAGGTTTCCTTCTCAAGATAATAAGGATAAAGACAGTTAACTTTCTTAGAAGTGCCTGGGGATATAATAAACTTTCTGCAAGGCTTTAACTAGTTGTGCTACAAATATGAAATATTAGGATTCCCTCTGTGTTGTGACTTGGCACTGGTTTAATTCTTAATATTGTTTCTACTCTTTCTTTTAAATGAGAATGAATTACCTCTACAGACAGGAAAGCCCTTTATCATAGACTATACACATCTAAATAAATTTTAGCAGCAGCTAATTGGGCTCCCAGCTCTTCACTCAGTAAGTAAATTTATTTCAAACTCACTAGAAAACAGTGTAAGCATTTATTTAATAAATTAATATTCTGTTCTCCTAAACTCCTTTTATTTTTGTTATTCATTGTATGTACTTGGAGGTCCTAGTCTTGAACTAAGGACCTGAACACTGTAAGACATACAACAGGAAGACAATCACTCTCCAGAAATGTATACATGCTTAGAGGAGACAACAAATGGATATGGTGAAAGAAGATAAAAAGGTAGAGAAAGACCATATTTATCAGCATGAAAAGTGATTAGAGTACACCATTGCTAAACAGTGACATCGCATATGAAAGAATGAGAAACAGTTCTCAAGCAAGAGTTGAAGGAAGACAATAAAGTGATGTCTCTTGCATAATTTATAAGGAGGTTTTTTCCACAGAAGGGTGTCTTTTTTGTATTTAACAAACAACAAATACATAGCTTGCTCACAGAAGAGAAGGTTCCAACAGCTGAACTGTGAAATGTAAAATAATAAATATCTGACAAACAAATTCAGCTAATTACATAGAGAAAAGATCAGACATTAGGTGTGACCATACAAAAGAGAGCAGTGAGGTGAACACATGCAAGGAAAAACAAACCAAGTACAGATAAAACAAACTAGATCAAATATCTTTTTTGATCACTATAGCTGTATGCATTCATACATAAACAAAAGTCCCAAAACCTTCAGATCAAGTTTTGTTTATATTTTATAGACACACACAAGCACATATATTAAAAAGGCTTTATGCACTCACAAATATGAACATCTATATGAAGTCTCACACATCTGTTCAAATAGTCGAGGACTGGACAGTATACTATTTTGCATACTCATATTTTTTAAAATGGGCTGCTTGTTCAGAAGTTTCATACAAGGACACTCATATTTTTATTTTTAACACTGTGCAAACATATGTATGCATTCTGATAATCTAAAGAATCAAAACTAGAAACCAGAGACTTATCTTTTATAACAAAACAGAGAATTCAAACAGGTTAACTACAGCCCAGTGGAAACCACAGATCCAGAAAACCACAACCAACCAACCAAACCAAAACAACCAAAACCTCAAAGATTTGCTTGAAATACTCCCATTCCATATACATATAAAATAATGTTTGAAACAAATGTTCTTACTTCTTTTGTATGTAATTCATTCACATACAAACATTCACTTAAAACTGTCATGTAGTTATTCTATTACAAGGGTATAGCTAAGTGCTACATACACTTAAAAAAAAAAAAAGTTTACATATTTGTTACCATTACTGAAACTTGGTGGGATGAATCCCATGACTGGCGTGCAGCTACCGATGGCTACAGGCTATTCAGAAAGGACAGGCAAGGAAGGAGGGGGAGAGGTATTGCCCTCTACATCAAGAAATAGAATGTGACGAGCTGTCTCTGAAGAATAGCCACAAGCAGGTTGGAAGCTTATGAGTAAGGATCAGACACCCAGGCAGCAAAGGGAAACTTGTGGTGTCTACTACAGGCCGCCCGATGAAGGGGAGCTTACTGACGAAGCCTTCTTCTCCCAGCTACAGGAGGCATCGCGCTTCGCAGGCTCTCGTCCTGCTGGGGGACTTCAACCACCCCAGGATCTGCTGGAAACGTAGCATGGCAAGCTGTGGGCAATCCAGGGAGACTCCTAGAGTGCATTAAGGGTAACTTCTTAAGCCAGGCAACTGACAGCCCTGCCAGAGGGGATGTGATACTGGACCTGCTGGTCACCAACACAAGTCAGCTAATCAGTGACGTTAGGATTAGAGGCAGCCTGGGCTGCAGTGATCATGCACTGGTGGAGTTTGCAGACCTGAGGGATAAGGGCCAGCCAAAGAGTAAAGTCAGGACCTTGAATTTTATGAAAGCAAAATTTCAGGTCTTCAGGGAGTTAAGTCCCCAGGACCCCCAGGGAAATCGCCTTCAGGGACAAGAGAGTAGAACAGACCTGGCAGATCTTTAAGGACACATTCCATCGAGCAGAAGAGCTCTCAATTCCCAGGTCTAAGATATCAGGAAAGGAAGGCAAGAGACTGGCACAGCTGAGTCAAGACTTGCTGGTCAAATAAAAGAGCAAGAAGGAAATGCACAGGCAGTGGAAGCAGGGACAAGGTATCCTGGGAAGAGTATAGCGACGCTGCCCGATTGTGTAGGGATGGTGCCAGGAAGGCTAAGGCTCAGCTGGACCTGAACTTGGCAAGGGACACAAAGAATAATAAGAAGGGCTTCTACAGGTGTGTCAGCCAGAAAAGGAAGATCAACGAAAGTGTACCCTCAATGATGAGCAAGACTGGCAAAATGGTAACAACAGACAAGGAGAAGGCTGAGGTAATCAACATTTTTGCCTCAGTCTTCACTGGCAACCTCTCTTCCCACACCTCTTTAGTGGATGGACCGCAAGGCAGGGACTGGAGGAGCAAAGTCCCTCCCACTGTAATGGAAGATCAGGTTTGTCACCACCTGAGGAACCTGAACATACAGAAGTCTATGGGACCTGACCAGATGCATCCCAGAGTCCTGAGGGAATTGGCTGATGTAGCTGCCAAGGCACTCTCCCTGATGTGTAAGAAGTCATGCATGATGTTTGAAAAGTCATGGCAGTCAGGTGAAACCCTTGGTGACTGGAAAAAGGGAAAAATCGCACCCATTTTTAAAAACAGTAGAAAGGAGGACCCTGGGAATGATCAACCTGTCATGGAACAGATTCTCCTAGAAGCTATGCTAAGGCACACGGAGGACAGGGAGGTGATTCGAGACAGCCAGCATGGCTTCACCAAGGGCAAGTCCTGCCTGATCAGCCTAGTGGCCTTCTATGACGGAGTGACTGCATCAGTGGACAAGGGCAGAGCTATGGATGTCATCTATCTGGACTTCGGTAAGGCCCTTGACACGGTCTCCCACAACATCCTTCTCTCTAAATTGGAAAGCTAAATATTTGATAGACGGACTGTTCGGTGGATGACGAATTGGTTGGATGGTCACATCCAGAGGATAGTGGTCAATGGCTCAAAATCTGGATGGAGATCAGTGATGAATGGTGTTCCTCAGGGGTCTTTACTGGGACCAGTACTGTTTAATATCTTCATCAAGGACATAGACAGTAAGATCAAGTGCACCCTCAGCAAGTTTGCAGATGACACCAAGCCAAGTGGTGCAGTCGACACGCCTGAGGGACGGGATGCCATCCAGAGGGACCTGGACAAGATCGAGAAGTGGGCCTGTGTGAACGTCATGAGGTTCATCAAGGTCCTGCATCTGGGCCAGGGCAACCCCTGGTATGAATACAGGCTGGGGGATGAAGGGATTGAGAGCAGCCCTGCCGAGAAGGACTTGGGGTTACTGGTGGATGAAACGCTGGACATGAGCCAGCAGTGTGCACTCACAGCCCATAAGACCAACCATATCCTGGGTTGCATCAAAAGCAGTGTGCCCAGCAGGGCAGGGAGGGGATTCTGCCCATCTACTCTCCTCTGGTGAGACCCCACCTGGAGTCCTGCGTCTAGCTCTTGAGCCTTCAGCACAGGAAAGACATGGACCTGTTGGAGCGAGTCCAGAGGAGGGCCACAAAAATGATCAGAGGGCTGGAACACCTCTCCTATGAGGAAAGGCTGAGTTGGGGCTGTTAAGCATGGAGAAGAGAAGGCTCTGGGAAGATCTTATTGCAGCCTTTCAGTACTTAAAGGGGGCTTATAAGAAAGATAGGGACAGGGTTTTTAGTAGGGCCTGTTGTGATAAGACAAGGGGTAACAGTTCTAAACTAAAAGAGGGCAGATTCAGACTAGATATAAGTAATAAATTTTTTACAATGAGGGTGGTGAAACACTGGAATAGGTTTGCCCAGAGACATGGCAGATGCTCCATCCCCAGAAACACTCAAGGTCAGGTTGGACAGGGCTCTGAGCAACTTGATCTAGTTGAAGCTGTCCCTGCTCATTGCAGAGGGGGTCAGACTACATGTCCTTTAAATGCCTCTTCCAAACCAAACTATTCTGTGATTCTATGATTCTATACCTTGATTAAAAATCTCTACCATCTTACCTGTAGATAAGTTATTCTCCTCTGTACCAAATCTGTTAAATCTTTGGCCTCTTTTTCTCGCCAATCTCCTGCTCCATCTGTTTGACTGAGGTAGTACAAGTCAGTCATTATTGACCTGTAAACAACAATGGAAAACAATCTTAAAAAAAAATTGGAAAAACTCTTAACATCACTAAACTGGAGGATTAGATGAAACCAAAGACAAATTCAAGAGATATTTCAACTATAGCCTCAAAACCAGTTTCTTCAAGCCACCTCCTGCCCTCACAATCGAAACAGCAGCCAAAAAAGATTGACTGTTTCCTCCACTTAACATATATTCCATACCCATGAGTAATTATTATATTTAAAAGGAGTGGGTTAGAAAAACTCTTAGGCCTGCTATAAAGTATTTGTTTCTGGTATGTGCTGAAGAAAACCAAAAAGAAAGAACAGTTCCATAATAGATACATTATCCAGTGGCCCCAGATGAAAGTACAATAGTGATTCCTACAGCAGATTCTATTATAACACATTGTTACTTTGCCTCCCACAGTCATCTTACTACGCTTGTATAGAATATAATATTACAAGATGTCTTTAGCACAGGTACAACAGTAAACCTTCTATTTTTATTAGTGAAAACTAACTACAGAATATTATTACAAGCTTTAGTAAACAGTATTTTCTATGGCATGAAGCTCCTTCTGACTCTGGAAGAAGGTAAGCATTTTGCCTGCTTAGAATGACTGCATACTACTAATAATCCAATGGAAAAAATAAAAAACTATAAATTCAAAACAGACTCATGGCCATGTTACAAGTTTAGACTAAAAAAACTGAATATTGAGGAACTATCAATGATTAAACTGAGGTTATATAATACACCAGAGATCCTTTTCTTCGGGTTATCACATTTCAGTGGCCAAACAAGAGGATAAAGAACTCCTTGTAATGAGAAGAAAAATGGTATATGGCTATTAGCTAAGATTAGCCAACAATTTTGTGAAAAACAGCCCCAACAGTACCATCCAGGAAAAGATTTTTTTATATCTGTAGCTTTTGCGAGGAAGTATAAAACTAGAAGCAAACTATTAAAAATACTTGTAAAAACATTAATGGCTATTCTACAAGTAACAGGTAGCCCAACTCAAAATCAGTAATTTCAGAGTTGGCTTTATACACTGAGAATATTTAGAGTTGCTAAACATATCTTCATAACAATGCTAAAGTTGTAAGTTTGAACCACGTTCTTAATTCTTTCAGCTGAACTTCAGATGTTGCAATTTATTGCCTGAAATTCTTGATAAGCCAGAGATGTGTTCCCTAGCAAGAGATGTAACAGAACAAAGGCAGAGAAATATGTGAGGTGACAAAAAGAGTGAGGGAAATATTTCCTAACAATCTCTGAAGCAGTCTTGTGAGTGAAGTAATACCAGGCACTGTTGTTTGCAGCACTTATTAGTACTGGAACCACAAACCTAGTCAGCTAAGGCTATTCCTTGCAAACAAGCTTAGCAAGTGAGAGAGGAGCAGATGATGTCTATTAGGTAACTCTTTTCAGTGTCACAATATTTAAGTGGTAAATACTGAGATAAATAAAATCAGGACAGAGCTATCTTTATCAGCAGAGTTATCAGACAACCTTCTCTTGCTAATAACTGGATCTTTATCCTTCTGTTCTCACAGACTCATTCTGGTCTTCATACCCATACTTCTACACAGGATAACAGTGACACTGACTTACTATACCATCTACTGTTGCTGTATTAAACATTCTGCCCAAATTGTTTAGCAGCAGTAAAGTTCATCTTCTGTCAATCAATCGGAAGTGCCATATTTACATTCTAACCTCAAACTATATAAGATTTATTTTCTTCTACTAAGGTAACTGAGCTTGAAACACCCTACTCTTTGTACAAAAAATACACAATTTAAAGTATCATCAGGTAACTAGTTTCAAATCACTAACTACTAAAGACACATAACAGTCAAGTAACACGCAAATACAGTTTAGGGACAAATGAACAGAATTAATCACACAGTAAATCTAATACAATAGATTATATACAAATAACTGAACATATAAAGAGTCTGCTCCTCTTAAAGCAATGTTTTCTGATATCTTGCACGATTTTCAAATGCTCTCTTTCACTGGCCTCAGAAAGTCTTCTCTGTACTTGTGACTTGGGAAATCAGTATACTGTCCTTTTATTTAATAGAAGTATTTTTCTATTAAAAAATGGCATAAAATAACCAAAAATACAAAGCCTACCAATAAAAAGAAACATTTTCTCTCTTAGCAGTTAAATAATTTTTGTTATTCCTAAGGAAAAAAGTGTTGTCCAAATTTTCTTTTATATATTATTGGCCATGGTGACCATGACAAAGCAAAGGCAGCAGGTAAATTTAAATAATCAATCTTACAGATGAAATGTGATTATTTTCCATCATTTTTGAGGAAAGAGGAATGATGAGAGAGTCCTCGCACAGCTTCAGTGACTAAACACTTCAGGGAAATGCAGCTTTGCTCAGTACAAACCATAAAGAATATAAAGTAATTTGTGGAAAATTTTATGAATTCATGCAAGTGTTTTCAGATAGCAGCAACAATCTTTTTTAAAAAAAAACTACTTTTATAAAACTATGAAGTAAACCAGGAACTGAAAAATTCACAGGTGTTACCACACAGAAATGATTATAGGGTAGTGCAATTTTAATACACTTTCAGTCACGGAGACCTTCTTTCTTTGATAGCAACTGCTGGGAAATGTGCATTTCTTAGGTTTAAATCTGCTAGGTTCTTTTGAGTGTGAGAGACCATCATGATGGCTTATTAATACAGATTTAGAAGTGGCACAGACTAATACCAAAGACCAGAGTCAGGATCCACGTGGAGAGCTAAACAGTAGACAAACTGCTGATCCGTGAGCCCAAGATAGCTAAGCGCAGACAAAAGATGAGCCTGCATGGGATTATTAGAGGTTACTGTGGTAGTAAAACTGCAGAAAGAATTTCAGACTGTGACATTGCAGATATTTAGTAAGTCAAACTTGTTCTTTCATTGTGTTACTAACCAACAATATCAATTTGTTATTGTTATTTTTGTTTCATACCATACACTAAATCTTGGAGCTGCTCTTAAAAAGCATTTTGCTCCTGGAAATCAGAATAGAGTAAAGAATCTGGCTACGTATTTCATCTGCATTTTAATGTCACAAATAAAGGGGGGAGGGCAGGCATTTTTAACATGATTTTAAAGATCAGTCTAGATATTTATTCCAGCCATATAACAAAATGACATTTAAACCTCCCAGAAACTTTACATCAACAAATAAAAACTCAGAGGAAAAAAAACTGTGGTATGTTCAACCAAATTCAAAGGAAATCACTTGAAAATATGCCCAAACACTATGTATCAAACCTTGGCCAGCTACCACAAAAGGCCTGATGATAGTTGATCCCCAGGAGGAGAAGGAATGAAACTAACTCAGCAATAGTCACTTTGCAAACAACATAATGCCAACATAGGAAACAACCATGACAACTAGAGAATTAATCTGCTCTTTGTTGTTAACTCTATATTAAATAGTCTTTCCACTGTTAAAATGAAGCTAATCTCAACAACCTTCTGCCCTGTGGCAACCACAAGAATACAATTACATATTCCATAATGCAGGCAACTCTGCATTGGGCTGCATTTTTTTGTCAAGAGAATCAGTAGTGAAATACTGGACAAAAACATCTGCCAAGACCAGTACTCGCTGGGAGAAAATCTACACAACCTACACAGTCAAGAAATAATGATTAAGGCATCCAACAAGAGAAGCACTATCATATTAGTAGTAGACCACTTGCACAACAGCACCAAGATTAACAAAGAGCTCTACTACTACTTATTCAGAGTCACAGAAACTTTACCATCTGTCAAAAAGCAAGTCTTCTCTACGAAACAACAGGGTTTTCTCACAAACACAAAATATAAGTATTAGCCACTTTCCTCACATACCTATCTCATCATTTGATCACTACCCAGCCCTTTATCTGCTTTCCCACATAAGGAGGGCATTACAAACTTCTTTAAGTACTTACAATTCACACTAATCTTTCTAATCCAAGTATTAGAATATAATATATATTTAAATATCCAAGATACAAGTTTATGTATATATATAAAAACAAGTAATATCAGCTTCACATGCAATGTTCTATTGATCTAAGATACACAGGTAGCAATTTTTTAAGACATCACTGTCAGCAAAAGGGCATTCAGCAACTTGTTAAATTCCTTAAAAAAATAAAAAAACAAGTGCACACATACTTAAAAAAAATAAAACAACACAAAACCCCAGCAATGATAAAAAAAACCCACCAAAAAGCTGTGATTCTCGTAGTGAATGAGAGCATCTGATTTGCTCAGTTTAAACTTATGTTAAACTTCTGTTATGTTCCTTTCAGGAGAAAAGACCAGATGGACTGTGTAGAGGGAACAAGAATCCTTCCCTGGGGAGCTACTGTGCATCCTAATGGAAAAGAATGCCCCAGAGACAGCAGTGCACCACAGGCCAAAGGATGTGCACACAAAGAGCTGGGAGTTTTCCTGCAACTCCCAGAGCAAGATTGAAAGATTAAAGGGAAAGAAGCAGACAGCCTGACGTCAGAGGTGAAAGAACGAACTTCCTCGGGATTAGAGACAACCAAGAAGAGCATTCTGCAATGCAAGATAGTTTTATTGCCCAAACCCAATGTTGTTAATACAAGAACACATGCTGAATATTACAGAAACATTTTTTAACCTGTTTTCTCTCATGCAATTGCTTTGAATTTCCATATTGTAAAAAAATGGTCTACATTTTATTTTAATAAAACCTAGTTTCTGACTGTTTGGTTTTACCTTAAACGACTTTAGCCTTCTTCGGGGATCTCACCACACAGGAAGGTCTACACAGATCTACTACTAAGATTCAACAGACTCCAGGACATTCTGCTTTCGATAATCACCGTGTCAGTCTGAAGAAGACTTTTATTCAACAAGAAAATTCTTAAGCACAGGAAAAAAGAAAGCGCAGCTGTGATTGCTTGCATCAGATACAAACTTCTTCCAGTACCACAACGGTTTCAGACTTCCACACTGAAATCCATCTCATAACTTCCAGAGGTCTACAAGGCAGAATTTTACTATTCAATGCAAAGGAGTATGCATTTCTAGCATGGGTTTCAGCTCATCCTGAAGTAGATAGATGTGAAGATAAAGTGGTCAGAAATACAGAAACTTGGAAGTTGGGATTAATGAGGCAATAGTCATTGGTGTAAGAAAGAAAGGAATAAGAAAAGGACTCATCCTGGCTGGCAGGAACATAAAAACCTTCTGGTATCAAATACACAACATTATTCAAGGTTGCACTGTGGCAGATGCCTGATGTGATCCTGGCTATATAAAGCCAGCAGTAATGCGTACACAAGTGATTTTGTTCCCATGACAGACATCAGTAAGTCTGGCATTAGACTACTTGCTCCAGTTTCGGCACAGACAGTTTAAAAGGTATATCAAGAATCAATGATCTGAAGTCCAAGAAACCCAAACACTTCTGGAAGACAAATACTTCTGAGTGGAGGTAACTATTGAAACAAACCATACAGGGAAGTAGCAGCTTCTCTGTCAGTTAACTGTTTAACTGAAGATCTCAATTCTTTTGAAAAATTCTGCTTCAGCCAAGCACTACTTTTTTTTCAGTCACACATACATAATTGCACTCAGATGAGAAATAATTGGATGAAATGTAATGGCTTATTTTATATAGATAATAACTCTCAATAATTGCATAGTCCCTTCTCACTTTAAACTCCATCAATCTGTAACAAACTGGGCTTTGGAATTGTGGAAGATTAAATTACAAAATTTAATGACTATATTATTTGCCCATATTAATAAGCAATTTCATATTATTTTTAAACTATGTTTCAAATAGTGTTTACATTACTTCTGAAGAATCTTCTTACTATTTTTTCCTTTTACTACAGTACTATTTTCGAAGGCTCATACTTTACTACTGATGTTCACACATGCAGATCTTGGCTTTTTTTGGAAAAAGATACTTGTTTAAGGTGGTAATTATAGTCAATTCAACTATTTTCTTATGACTGTTTATTAAGGAGACACAAATTACAACTGCAGTCCTGTTGTGAACAGAGTTATAAACATAATAGGCTTACAGACAGATTTTACTGAATTTTTAATACTTTCTGGATTCATTTTGTTAATTAATGAACAAAATCCATACAGAATGTTTTAGTATACTACAAAAGGTACTTCAGCAATGGGGAGGACAGAAAAATCAACTACCACTGAAAATATAATTCCAACACATCTTTGAACAACACAAAAATGACTGTGTAATTTGAGGTCATTTCTATCTGAAACATTCTGTTAAATTCTAATTACAAAAAGAACTGACTTTTCAGAATGACAATTAGACATGAAATTAAGATACTAACTAATTTTATAGTAATTCAAATTCGATAATATCCCAATGATCAATGTAACTTATATTCTAGTAATTATGAAAGGCACAATAAGATACCTAAAATAAATATTCTTCAGGTTTTTTAATGGTTTTGTTCCATGTGCAAATATGCGCATATATAGACAGATGCAAGCAAAAAGCAACAACCTGCATCCAGGACCCAGGTTTTCTGATAAAAAAAATAAAAATTTATAATGTTAAAGGGTCATACTCTAAGCTGTAGTGACATAAGCTGGGTATATACTTTACGTCCCATGAAATACAAGTAACAATTTTATGATCACGCTTCAAGCACAATATTTTAGCCCACATACCAGTAATTTACCCTATGAAATTTTTAAGCAGTATATCAGTAGTCTACTTAAATTAATCCGTAATCCTTACAACATATATGCAGAATCGACTAATACAAGTACCTTTCCTGATGACCCAGATCAGACAGAAATTCATCAATGCGTCTTTGCAGTTCACTTCCTTCTAGATTTTTCAACTTCTTCAATTCACTCTGTAGAAAAAACCAAAGTTCCTTAGCTCCATTTTCAATCCTCCTCCTCAATACTTCATGGTCTTTTCCAAGGCCTGCTATTTATGAGCAACTGCAGCTGGATTATTTGTTAAGACAACAATACATCTGTGACATGGAATAGCAAAACTTGTTATAGAAGTCAAAAAAAAAACTCATCTACCAACCATCTCCTGTCCGCTTCTTATAGTTTTCTATCTGTTCTTTGGCCTTTAAAAGTTGCTCCTCTAAAGCATGTACCTTTCCTGCAGCTGGTCCCTGATCAATGGGACCATCTGGTATTCTACGAAAAAAAAAACCATATGATTTATAATTATAATTGTGATTTCATAAATTATTTGCATCAACAGTTCAGGTCTCCTCTCATTTTTGTTCCATACTGTTTTGCTTATAAGCCTTCTTGGCATTTTCTTAAAACCAGAAGAAATTAAACATATTAACATATATAAATATTTTAAAACCTCAATCCTATAGAAGAGAAACAGCGCATAACACAGCTGCAGCACACAGATTCAACCTGGTGTTAAACTGTGCTGTTTACAAGACTTCCACTCGCTGACAAGACCAACCCTAGGTTCTATCTGTCAAAATAGTATTTGCAGCAGCTTAACTTAGACCATTTGTTGGATTGACTGGCACACAAGCAAAGCCTAATCGAGGGATGTGCCTTCACAAGACTCAAGTTCTGGCTACTTTTTATATTCACACAGGAAATACATTCTGGTCTTCAATGCTGGCCATATATTCTCACAGGACCACAGCTCCAGCACTGGAACTCCAATTTTAAGTTAAGTCTTCCTACATACTGGTATAAGATAATTTCAATGTATTTTGGGGACTCAGAACAATATCCTAGCTTCTTAAATAGACCGTCATGATAATTTTTTATGACACCTCTGGTATTCTAAACTGCCAGTCACCTAAAACAACATCAGCAACTGTAACATCCATTTGTGAAATCTCTGGTATGTCAGCACAAGAGAAGTATGGAAGGAAACATGTATCCTGAAATCTATGAGCCATAAATCAGTCCTGAGGGTATTACTGTGGCTTGTTCATTATCTCAACTTCAATCCATGTATTAATAAACTGAAATTATTAAAGTATAGAAATTAGATGCTATCTTCTATTTCCCTCATATATTAAAAATGAATGCAGGGAAAATAAAAACTGCTTTTATTTCTAGAGAAATGACACCGCTGGTGGATCCAAGGGTTAAAATTATTCCACCTTTTTGGAAGACTTTATAAGAGCTGACCCTGAAAAGGAAAAGACGAAGCAGATAATGGTAAGTCTTGAGACCTGTAAAGAATACAGAATTCTTGCAGAACGTGAAGATGAATCTTCATTCATAATGGAATACGAGCATAAAAAGAAAGGGCTATTCTCTCAACACATACAGACACAGAAATTCAAGGCCATACAGGAAGACTCCTTGCCAGACAAAAGATGCCTTTAGCATAGCGAAAATAGTGGTTGGAGGGAGTATCTTCACCCTAAACCAGAAATGACAGCATTCTAAACAGCCTACTGAGATGTCACTAACTTGAATGTCTCTTGGATCTGGATAATTAAATACCAATAAAAATTTAGGAACTGATGAAAAGTCTACTTTCACTGGAACATTTGAAAGGAATAAATACCTAACGTGAGCATCAGAAAGGTATATCACACAAAGCATAGCATTTAAGCCATTTTTTTTCAGAGGCAGGTGGGAGAGGTGGAAGATGAAGCTATGTAGCCTGACAGAAATTCCGTAAAAAATTCTGCACTCTTAAAGCTGCCTGTTGAAAGCAAATTTGGGATAACTAAATTATTGCAAAATATTTATTTGTGTTTTAAAGCTATCATGGTAAATAAAAAGGCATTATCAATAACTGCTCATATATCTGCTTTTTTATGCACCGAGGGAACGAGCATGACAAAACTGAGGAAAATATTCTAATCTTAAACATTTGCACTCCCTATATATACTCCCTCTGTATGAACAATCCATTTGTGAATTTGTTTCTACAACAAATGTACAGTATGATACCATACTGAGACATGGTACTGTGTTTCCACGTACAAGACAATAGAAACAAACCTTTACAAAGCATACTGAAACACATTTAAGCTCTTGTGCTAGTTTAAAACCACAAGGTTGAAATATATTTGTCATCTGCCAACTCGGTATCACAATTAGATTGTGACAAGACAACTAACCACAAAATTACCAAGAAAAATGGAATGGCTTATCTTGTACAAGTTACATTCCCTAAAGCTAGAGTTTGTGAAGAGGATAAAGGATAAAAAAATCACTACCATAAGAAATCTTCAGACAGCACACACATCCTCTGAATAAAAGGAAAGTCTGTTAAAGTAGCAATTACAGAATTCTCCACAACAATGGTTGTGGATGATAGGAAAGAAGCACAATAATTCCGACTATTAGATACAATCAAGATTTCAAAAAAACCCAAACTTACAAGCCATTTAACATTCAACTTGCTTTGGCATACTGCAATAAAAACATTTACTATACTTCTGTTGTTAGATAAAAGAAGCTAGGATGGGGGTGGGGAGGCATTCTTCTAAACTAGTTGTTTGGACTTTCAAAAATTACATAATTTTAGGATAAAACTAAAATAACTTATTCGTTTTGTAGTTTTGTCTCTATATCTGTTACCTCATCAGACTTGGAATTGCTGTCTTCCTCACTTTCATCCAGTCTCAAAATTAAGGAAAAGGTTCTTCTCTGCAACCAGCACAGCTTGCTTGTTACTGCCCTCTACAAGTACATCAACTGAATTGGAGATAAGGCAACATTTGATGGAAAAGCGTTTGAATTAAAATCCTTATCTATACTCATGGCATCATCTATGTAGATAACTTCTAGTGCAGAATGTCCTAGGAATAATGCACACTTACGAATGTAATTTCCTGTTGAAAAACACATACGTAAGTTTCCACACCAAAGTAAGCCCTGACAACTGATTCACTCCTTGAAATCTGAGAATCTAGTTTAAAGTAAGTTTATCTAACCTATGATGATTCCAAACAACAATAAAAGGACATGTCAGTAAGCATCTAGCACTGAATATCCTGCACTTACTGCTATGACATCATTGTTAATTAAATCATAAATGTAAAATAAGCAAAATTATAATCCACTTATATGGGCAGCCATGAAAATACATCAAATAGTGGTTTTGTTTGAATTATTTTTGTCAAGGCTTACAAGGTATGATTTCTGCATGCTGTTTCCTACCATTTTATAGCAAATATAAATTATCCTTTCCATAATGAACTCATATCAAATAAAGATATTACTGTGTAACTTTAAACATCAAAAAGATTATGTTGTAGAGATAACCCATTTTTGCTTTGTCCCTTGTTTAGTAATCCAGCTACACTTAAAGACAGAAAAAAGAATTCTGCATACATCATCTGTGTCATTGAGGCCACTTTCTCATCACCTTCAGGTAACATAGAGGGGCAATGGCAAATTAGCGATCTCTAATCTGAATCTCTGAAGGCAAAAAGAACCAATCAAAAATTAACGGTGGTGATATTCAATTTAGCTGAAAGAACTGCCATACTGTGTAAAATAATTCTAAAAAAAATTTAAAACACAAAAATAAATTATAAAAAACCTTCCAACCTTTTCCTACTTCCAAGGTGTTTAAAAGGTTACACTAATTTATCAGCAAAAGGAAAAATGTAAGATTTCACAAGTTCACACTCAAATATTTTCTCATTCTTTCATTTATGTGTTTCTGAGTTCTTTCCACGGAGCTGGAATGTTTATAATTAACTAAAGTCACATTATGATTGGCAGTTCTTTCACTTTTTTTCCCCCCAGGAAGAAAATAATGTTTAATTATTAATGACCACTAACACAGAATCTACAGGAATATAAGTTGTCACTTCAATCTCCTAAAATAAAACCTCTTCAGTAAATAAAACTGAAAGAAAACACTCAATGTTGACTGCAAATAAAGAGCAAGCAGCATCCCCTAACAATCTAAATCACCACAGCCCTGCTCAGTGCTGATTTATATCCACTGAAGATGTGTCCCTTCCCTTAATTCAAAATTTTACAAAAACCAATAAAAAGAGCAGAGATGCACACCATATAGTTCAACATTTCCTCCCTCATACATTGGCCTGTGCAACACCTTCAGCTTCAAACTTAAAACACTTTGAATTCATGTAATAGAAAACAGCACCTTCAAATAGTATTTACATTCTTGTATCCAAATCCATTCCAATGCTTACTACAGGCTTACGGGGCCCAACAACTCCCCAGAGTAACTGACAGAAGTACCTTAATAGATTTGCTTATGGTTAATTGATCCTGAGTTTGGATTCTATATCAGCTTCAAGGCCAACTACATTAAAGCTGCTATAGCACTCTTTCAAAATTAAAATCCTACCTCTTCTTTCTGAAGCTACACTCAGAACTATGAGAATAATGTCTAGAAATACTGGTGTTTGGTCTTACTTGTTCAATCATATTTTGCCCTTTTCCACTCCTGTTCTACTTTATAACACGTGATCCTCTTCAGATTAAGAAACTGGTCATCATATTTATTAAAAGAATTGCATACTACAAAATGTAGTATTTAATAGACTCTAAGAAGTAAATATAGACAGAATGTGATGTGTTAGTAATATGAACACAATATTAATTTAACATTTAACAAGATTCCCTACTTCCCTGAAGAGAACCCTGCAATTACTGGTTCCTATACTGCCAGGTTTATCTGCCAGGAGAGGATACTATTAATACACCAAAAAGATAAAAACTTCACTACCACCCAGCAAGACACAAAGAAGCACATGAATACTATGAACCATCACGTATTGCAAAAAAGGAAGTCTACGATACAGATGAAGGCATACACACAATTATTCCAGTTTCCATTTAAGAAAAACAGACACTACAAAAGTAGTACTTTTAAGCTCTCCTCCTCATAAAAGCCTTATACCATCTAGGTGCAGCAGTGACAGCCTTTAGCACTCATATCATAATCCTACCAGTAAATAAAATTTTCAGATACAACTACATTACAGGCAAATAATGAAACAACATTATGTAATACTTTAATTTGATTATTACTCCACATTGAGTTTCCCTGTAAATAACTTCAAAAATTGTAGTAAAGATTTCCCTTTTTGCTGCGAGATCTACAACATCTGTAATAAGTATTCTGGAAAGAGCTCTTCCAATTCTACTGGATATAGGCTAGTAAAATAACAATCTATAAAAAACTCTGGTATTATTACTATTTTGCACTA